TAACCTTACATCTATGACTTCCCTTCTTCTCCTTCCATGGTTCATTTTGCATATCATAAATCCCTGCATATTGCACATGAACTAAACCATTAGTAATCCGTTGCTACATCCATCAAAACTTATTTACACTGTTAAATTTATCTTAATGCTACCAGCGTTTTACACAATTTTCTCCTATACATTCAGTAAACAATTTTCAGTCTTTTTAACCAACAGGCTCTTCTTAGGCAATAATTAATGCAGCATTCACCAAACTGGGCTGAAGGGCACAAAAGAGCTGGAGGGCACCAGTTGGCAAAGGATAAAATAATGGAACGAATGCTGCCTTTAATTACAAAATTACAAATTTAATTACAAAAACAGATGTCATTATAGGGTTGGGAGGATCTCGCATGTCCATTCATGCGCTCACTTCCAATGCTCCTGTTTCCACACTGGCCCATTCAGCTTCTGCCGCCTGGCCTCCGTTTGTTGAAAGTGTCCCTTGATATGTGTCTCCACTACCCTGCATTAAATTAGCTTAACTAGATTTTGCCAGCTGTCATTTAGCAAGCTTTGAGGGTTCATGTCGAACCCTTGTGGCACTTGTGGACAGCCCTCTGTGGTTTTTTCAGAAGAAATATCCGCCTGGAGATCAAGGACAATCCAGGACGCTTAGCTCTGCTCCAGGGCCAATCACCACCACAAACTTGTCTAATCCCTTTTGAAGCCATCCAACCTACTACACAGCCCCCATATTGTCAAAGGCAGAAGCTGGCACAGGCAGTCTACTTCCTGGGCAATTAAAAAAATATCCCTGCTTGTAGAAAACAAACATGTCAGGGATGGGTTGAAGCCTAGCCGTCGCCCCAATGTGTTCATTTTCTCTCTGTAGGAAATGGAAAAGCTTTCGACCATGTGAACCACGACACATGATGCAGTCTGAGATGGCACAAGACTATTACCCATTTAAACCATAGCAAAGTAATAGCATGTCAGATCTTGCATCATCCTGCTGCCAAGGCAGAAGACAGGATAGTGTGCCTCCCAATTTGAGAGAGGGGATGCAGCAGAAAAAGACAAACTTGTTTTTCTAACTTCAGCCTTCAAGTTCCTGGTTACGCTGCAGACCCTTATCAAAACCAAAACACTGAACTCTCCTTCACCGCATAAATTCCCTGCTGCTCCTGAAGAGGTGCCAGGCTTGCTGCAGTTATCACCTTCCCCTCCTCACCTCTGCACTGAAGCTCGGGTTATGGAAAACCTCTCTTCTGATTTTCCACACAATCTGGTAAGACCCGATTCAGCACATAAGATTGAGCTTTTGCAAGGCACGGAGGGAAACTCTCGGACCCCCGGGAGAATTAATCAGTGGGGGTGAGCCCTAACTTCTGACTCGCAGCAAACCCCAACCTTCCCACCTTTTCAGAAATCCCCACCCCAAAGAGCATCCTAAAATAAGGAAGTGGCTGTTAAGGCAAGCCAGGGGCCTTGGTTATATGCCCAGGGACCAGACTGAGTCTGCCCCCTCGCTTGAGCAAGCAGCCAGGATCCACCTCCCCGGCAGCAAGCTCAGCCCAAGGACCTCCTTTGCTGCCCACAAAGTCACCCAAGGGGCCTCCCTCATCAGATTGTTCATGGTGGAGGACGTGCCGGCACTCAATGGCACCAACCAAGGACAGGGAGCGGAATTATGTGACCATGCATCCCCTGTCCTACGGAAACCCCCACCCCTTAAATTCAATGAATAAAGAGACAAGGCAAGTAGTATTTGGGTAAAATCAGGTCATGGCTTTATTAACTACTGGTGTAAGAGGTTTCACATAGGCATCAGGGAGAACCAACAATTTCTGGCCCGTCTGCCGGAAGGACTTAATTTGGGGTCAACTGGAAGTGAGCGAGTTCTTGACCTGCATCAAAGAGTAAGTCCCTTGCTGGATTGCACCTGGGGAGTGCTATGGCCCTAGCCCCCACCTGGACATCTGGGCAGAAGCATCTCTCCCGGATCCCTTTTCCGGAGGGGTAGGCAGAGGCTACAGCCTCCCCTCAATCCAAGACTACGCCTATCCAATGCATCAACCAGCCCTCAAGGAAATGCTCGCCGCCAAACCGCTCACATCTGAAAACAATACTTTAGGCCTCCCACCAGGTCAGTCAACCAAACATCAAGTCCCTCATCGGAGAGATCTACCCCATTCTGTTGGAATAAGGCCTCTCGTGTGACTGTGATGTCAGGGTGTCGGATCACCCAGCCACCCAGCAGCTGCACCTTGTTCGTTACGTCTTTGTTCACTTTCCTCCTTATTCTCTCCCTTGATTTGTTCATGGATGCCTGCCGCGGTTCCGGGGTGCCAGGCCACGGAATAATAGGCCAGTGCTGCCTCTCCAGTAGCTCGGACCAACAGAGGCTGGTCCGTGGGTATTGAAAGTGCAAGGTCTCCAAGTCTTCAGTGATAGCCTCGACTAGGTCATAAATCCTTTGTCCGCCCACGTCGTTCTCACCCAGGTGAAAGATAATGATATCAGGTGGGCCCACCGTAGAGATCCGAGCAGTCAGCAATGGTAGGAGCTGATACCACCTCATTCCCCTCTGGCTGATCCATGACAGCTCTATATTCGAGGGGAAGCCCAGGTTGCTGCCCCACCTGGACGAAACTGCGCGGACTTCAGCCCAATACACAACGCTGTGCCCGCAAATCCATACCTTCTTGGTGGCCGATCCTCAAAAAACCAAGAAAATAAACAAGACAGTGTAAGTTCAGGGGCGCAGGTGTGCCCTGGAATGCCATCTCCTAAGCGACTTCATTCTATCTGCTAGTAAGTCCCAATTTGTCGTGATGTGGGGGGTTAGCTGGGAGGCACCAGCCAGGCAGAGGAGGAAGGCTCAGAGCCTGGGGAGTGGTGGTGGGGCAGAGAGGAGGAGGAGAGGAATGGTGGGGTGCTGAAGAGGCAACAGGCTTTCTCGAGCCGGAAGAGCCAGGCGCAGAAAGCGGTTCAGACTCAGCAAATGTTGCAGAGGAGGAGAGGAAAGAGGCTGCAGAAGCATCTCAGGAGCGTGCCCTTCTTACTAGACTAAGTGTTAGCAATTTCACTCATCCGATGCTGCGATAATAATAATAATAATAATAATAATAATTTATTTATTTATTATTTTGCTCACAAGGGTCATAGGAACGTGCAAGCCCACTCACCATGACAAGGTGATGATCCAGCAAGTGAAGGGAGTACCTACACTCCAAGAATGGCTGCGGTGTTATTTCTCTATGATCATTAAACACTCTTAAACTGGTAAGGGACTCTTAATTGCTTTTTTCTGCTGATGCACAGCCAAAGGGGAAGAGGGAGCCATTTCCCCAACGCCTGACAAATACTGACAAACTTAGAAGGTGTGAAGAGGGCAACCAAGATGTTCAAGGGTCTGGAAACCAAACCTTATGAGGAGCACTTGAAGGAGCTGCATATCTTTAGCCTGGAAAAGAGGAGACTTGAGAAGAGATAAGAGAGATACAGGGAGGTAGCCGTGTTGGTCTGCCGTAGTCAAAACAAAATAAAAAAAATTCTTTCCAGTAGCACCTTAGAAACCAACTAAGTTTGTTATTGGTATGAGCTTTCGTGTGCATGCACACTTCTTCAGGAGATAAGAGAGCTATCTTCAAATTTCTCATGGAAGATGGAGCAAGCTTGTTTTCTCCTGCTCCAGGTGGGTAGGATTCTAGTTACAAGAAAGGAGATTCAGACTCAACAGCAGAAGAACTTAGAGCTGCTTCAACAGTCGAACAGTCTCCCTTGGGAACTTGTGGATTCCTTCCTTAGAGGTTATTAATCGGAGGTTGGGTGGCCATCTCTCAGGGATGCTTTAGCCAATATTCCTGCATTGCAGGGGGCTGGACTGGATGGCACTTACTTTTATCTGTCCTGATTCTACCATTATCCAGCTGTAAGAGAGTGAAAAACCTTTCCCTATCCACTTTCTTCATGCCCTGCATCATTTCATAAACTTTTATCATGTTGCCTCTTTCTCACCTTTTCTCTCAACTGAAAAGCCCCAAATGCCATCCACCCCACTGCAACCCTTTGTTCCCCTTCTTCTGAACCTTTCCCATCTTTACAACATCCTTTCTTAGATGCGACAACCAGAACTGTATGCAATATTCCAGACGCATTCGCACTGCAGATCTGCATGACAGTGTTATGATAGCAGCAATTCTATTTTCCACACTTTTCGTAATGATCTCTGGGATGGAATCTGCAGTTTTCAGTCACAACTCACTCCACTGGAAACTTCATCAGGCTACCCCCTACGAGCCCCAGGGTCTCCTCCCTAGTAAGGTAGCACCATGTGTATTGCTCTGTATGATTAACAATACATATGGTTAGGACGATGAAGTGTGAATAAAAAATAAAGTTGGGTCTCATGAAGGCAGAACTGTATAGGGAAGTTTTTAATGTTTGATGGTTTATTATGTTTTATATTTGTTGGAAGCCGCCCAGAATGGCAACCCAGCCAGATGGATGGGATACAAATAATAAAATAAAATAGTTATTATTATTATTATTATTCAGAGATAGGTCTCGGGTCTGGATCAGTTGAAGACAGCTATATGAGGTGCCCAAGACTAAAGAGGCAAGACACAAAGTGTGGGATTTAAAGAGGGTCACTTTATTAACTACAGCAGAGTAACTTACAAACGGCAGGCAGGAAAGGAGGAGACGCGTGGGCAGGAGTCCAAGTCTCTCCCGAGACTCCAAATCCTGTCGTGAATGGCCAAGCCTACCTTGCAGGGAGGAAGGTGATCTCCATTGCCCTCCTCTTCCTCCACCGCACCCCTTAAGGTGAGCTCTGGCTGACTCATGCACCCTTGGAGCCCCACAAATCCAGGCAAGTGACACGGGTCAACCTCAAGAGAGATCCCTTTCCTGCCCCACAGGTCCCCCTGGAGCCGCTTAGCAACCTGAAAAGTGATTTGGGGCACTCGCAGTTTTGCCAACTTCTCCCCTTTCGCAGGAGGATAAAGTTCGGCTTAGTCCTTCTTCCCCCACCGCCGCAGAATATGTGCTTTTATTTCTGTGTGGAGATTAGAGAGGAAAATATCGTTTCCAGCAGCAGACAAAGAAATCCCATCCTTTCCGTAAAGTTCGTTGCAACTGGGATTAATTTGGTAGTGAGATATCGTTCCGTCCCCCGTTGCAATCAGCGCCCTTCTCATTTGTCTATTAAACTGTTTCCGCTTTTTGCACAATAGCTTCATGATTGGCATGTTAATCCAGGATCTCCTGGGCAAGATGTTGGACCACAGGATAACAACCCCCGGCCACCTTTGCCTAATCTCCTCCAAATCCTCTATCACTTTCTTAAGCAAGTTGTTATACGGCATCAACCCGAGGTCATTGCCACCTGCGTGCAGGACCACCATGTCCGGCTTCTGCCAGACCACTCCGTCCTGGAAGATTGTGGGCAACAGTTGACTCCACTTCAAATTTATCTTGCCCAACCACTGAACAGAAGCCACCGGGCTCAGACCAAAGTCAGCTCCCGGACTGTAGTATTTCGCTCTATGACTGGCGCCAAGAACAATACTGTGGCCTGCGATGAGGACTCGGACACGCTTGCCTCCAGCCAGGCCTCCTGTTAAAAAGAAACATCGTCAGTAGATTGCAACTCCGGACAGTTCTCTTTTCCCCAGCTTTTCAGAAACCCAACGGTACAGAAGCCTCACAGAGGTGTTTCCAAATTGAGGCACAATCCTAAATGAACAGGCCCAAAGTACCTCCAACACACCCAGCACCAGCTGCTCAAGTGTTTTCTTAGTTTCTGTCCAGAACTGAAACTTCGTAAGAAGATGGCCATGTGCACAAGGCATGAAGATCCCTGGAGAGTTGCCCCTATGCTCTGCATATTCCTCAAGGACAGTCACTGCTCAGGGATCAGCCTCCAAGCGTGGGCTTAATGGCACCATCGAGCTCTTCGGTCAGTATTGGACCACGTCCTCAATAGAACCCCAACCTCCAAGAACACCAGACTGAGAAATCACAGGCAGGGCCAGACCACACACGAAGCGGACTGAGGCAGCCTCCTTGGCCACTGGAATCCCGCAATGGCACCCCACCTGCTCCTACTGAACACTTGCAAGATCTCGCCACGGCCCCAGCGTCTCCTCACTTCTCCTGTGGCAAAGGAGTGCCCCACAGAGATGCAAGAAGTGGCTGTGGCTTCCAGATTCCAGGGAGATCTCACAGACCTCTTGGGATATCTCATTGAACGTGCAGACGCGCGATTCCATAAAGCGAGTCCTTGGTGTAGCAGTGGCAGCAGCAAAGCCTCCCCATTTCATCTCAGGCGGAGAAATGGGACACACCACGCCTGATTGCAGGGCACACTCAGAATGTCCAATTTAGCTGCCAACTGCCCTGTTGTAAATGCTCCCTGGGTTGATGCTGTTAAGGCTGCATAAGAGAAGCCTGCTGGATGAGGCCAGTGTCCCGTCTAGTCCAGCATCCTGTTCTCACAGTAGCCAACGAGATACCTATAGGACTCCAGCAAAAGAGCCCTCTGCCCTTTTGCAGATTTCACATCCAAGAGGCAAGGTCAGGATCTCAGCCTGCTCGTCTGACCAAAATGCAAACTGTATGTAGGGCATGAACAACATTTCCTGCAGCCCGAGGCAGTGAACAATGGCAAACTAAAAGAAATTCAGCAATAACGCTCTTCTAGGCTGCATCAACAGAAGTACAGGGTCCAGATCAAGGGGAGTCCTAGTCTCACTCTATTCTGCCTTAGCTGGACCACACCTGGAATACTGTGTCCAATTCTGGGCACCAGATAGATAGACAAGCTGGAGGATGTGCAGAGGAGGGCAACCAAGAGGATCAAGAGTCTGGAAAACAAGCCATATGAGGAACAGTTGAAGGAGCTGGCCATGTTTAGCCTGGACAAGAGGAGACAATGAGAAGTTCCGAGAGCCATCTCCAAATATATCAAGGGCCAATTTTAAAATGCTTTCCAGTCTTTTGGCAAAGTATAAAAATCATGGGTTCTTATTTAGAAGTAACACTAAGGTAGGACAATGTATATTGCTCTGTGTGATTAATAATACATATGGTTAGCACTATAAAGTATGAACAAAAAATAAAGTTGGGTCTCATGAAAGCAGAACTATACAGGGAAGTTTTTAATGTTTGATGGTTTATTATGTTTTATATTTGTTGGAAGCCGCCCAGAATGGTAACCCAGACAGATGGATGGGATACAAATAATAAAATAAAATAGTTATTATTATTATTTGTCAGAGATAGGTCTCGGATCTGGATCAGTTGAAGACAGCTATATGAGGAGGAAAAGACTAAAGAGGCAAGACACAAAGTGTGAGATTTAAGGAGGGTCACTTTATTAACTACAGCAGAATAACTTACAAACGGCAGGCAGGAAAGGAGGAGACGCGTGGGCAGGAGTCCAAGTCTCTCCTGAGACTCCAAATCCTGTCGTGAATGGCTAAGCCTACCTTGCAGGGAGGAAGGTGGTCTCCATTGCCCTCCTCTCCCCCCACCGCACCCCTTAAGGTGAGCTCTGGCTGACTCATACACCCTTGGAGCCCCACAAATCCAGGCAAGTGACACGGGTCAACCTCAAGAGAGATCCCTTTCCTGCCCCACAGGTCCCCCTGGAGCCGCTTAGCAACCTGAAAAGTGATTTGGGGTACTCGCGGTTTTGCCAACTTCTCCCCTTTCGCAGGAGGATAAAGCTCGGCTTAGTCCATGTTCCCCCACCGCTGTCGAATATGTGCTTTTATTTCTCTGTGGAGGTTAGAGAGGAAAACATCGTTCCCAGCAGGAGACAAGGAAATCCCATTCTTTCGGTAAAGTTCGGTCCTAGTGGGATTAATTTGGGGGTGAGATATCATTCCACCCCCCGTTGCAAACAGCGCCATTCTCACTTCTCTATTAATATATTGCCGCTTTTGGCGCAATCGCTTCATGAACGGTTTAGTGCATGAGGCACTCCTGGGCAAGATGTTGGACCACAGGATAAGGATCCCCGGCCACGTTTGCCTAAATGCCTCCAAATCCGCTACCACTTGAGAAATTATATCCTCACTCTTCATAAACCTCATTTCATAGTCGTCCAAGTGCAGAACCACAATGTCCAGCTTCTGCCAGACCACCCTGTCCTGGAAGATTGTGTGCAACAGATGACTCCACCTGCAACTCTTCCTGCCCAACCACTGAACAAAGGCCATGTGGCTCAGACCCAAGTCAGTTCCCAGACTGGAATGAATCGCTCTACGTCTGGCCTGAAGAACTGTACAGTGGCCTGCGATGAGGACTTGGACACGCTTGCCTCCATCCCAGCCATCTGTCAACAAAAAATATCATCAGTAAATTGCAACTCTGGACAGTTTTCTTTCCCCCGGCTTTTCAGATGCCTATCGGTGCTTGGTAAGATGCTAAACATGACCTGTTTATGTTTTGTATGCCTCTCAAAGGTGTCTCCAGGTGTACTGCAGTTGGGGCCACCGTAATCCTAAATGAACAGGCCCAGAGTACCTCCAACACAGCCAGCACCAGCTGCTCAAGTGTTTTCTTAGTTTCTGTCCAGAACTGAAACTTCGTAAGAAGATGGCCATGCACACGAGGCATGAAGATCCGTGGAGAGTTGCCCCTGTGCTCTGCATATTCCTCGAAGACAGTCATTGCTCAGAGATCAGCCTCCAAGTGTGGACTTAACGGCACCATCAAGCTCTTCAGTCAGGATTGAACCGCGTCCTCAGTAGAACCCCAACCTCCAAGAACACCAGACTGAGAAATCACAGGCAGGGCCGGACCACACATGAAGCGGACTGAGGCAGCCTCCTCAGGCGCTGGAATCCCGCAAAGGCACCCCACCTGCTCCTACTGAACACTCGCAAGATCTCGCCATGGCCCCAGTGTCTCCTCACTTCTCCTGTGGCAAAGAAGTGCTCCACCAGAAAAGCAACGAAAAGCGGCTGTGTCTTCCGGATTCCAGGGAGATCTCACAGACCTCTTGGGATCTTTCGCTGGAACCTGGTAGTCACAGATGTGCGATCTCAGAAGGCACAGGAGTGGCAGTGGCAAAACCTCCCCATTTCATGTAATAGTAACAATAATTTGTTATTCATACCCTGTCCATCTGACTAGGTTTCCCTAGCCATTCTGGGAGGCTTCCAGCACACATAAAAACATAGTAAACCAACAAACTCTAAAAGCTTCCCTATACAGAATTGCTTTCAAATGTCTTCTAAAAAACATATTGTTGTTTATCTCCTCAACATCTGGTGGGAGGGTGTTTCACAGAGCAAGCGCCACTATTGAGAAGGCCCCCGCCTGGTTCCCTGTAACCTCACTTCTCGCAGTGAGGGAATTGCCAGAAGGGCCTTGGCACTGGAGATGCTCCTTCAGGTATACTGGGCTGAGGTTGTTTAGGGCTTTAAAGTTCAGCACCCACACTTTGTGCTTTGAAGTGTATTGGGAGCCAATGTGAGTCTTTCAGGACTGGTGTTATATGGTCTTGGCGGCTGCTCCCAGTCACCAGTCTAGCTGCCGCATTCTGGATTAGTTGTAGTTTCTGAGTCACCCTCAAAGCTAGCCCCATGTAGAGGGCATTGCAGTAGTCTAAGCGGGAGATAACCAGAGCATGCACCACTCTTGTTAGACAGGGCACAGGCAGAGAGGATCTCACATAGAGCTAGCAGACAGCCACCCTGGACACAGAATTGATCTGCACCTCCATGGACAGCTGTGAGTCCAAAATGACACCCAGGCTGCGCACCTCATATCTGAGGGGCAGAGTTATCCCATTCAGGAGCAGGGAGTCCCCCACAACTGCCCACCCTGTCCCCCCAAAACAATACTTCTGTCTTGTCAGGATTCAGCGTTAGCCACTATTCATCCTCCAACCCTCTCACACAGGACTTTCACTGCTTTCACTGGTTCTGATTTGAAGGAGAGGTAGAGCTGGGTATCATCGGCATACTGATGAACACCCAGCCCAAACCCCCTGATGAACTCTCCCAGCGGCTTCAAATAGATATTGAAAAGCATCGGGGAGAGGATGGAACCCTGAGGCACCCCATAAGTGAGTACCCAGGGATCCGAACATTCATCCCTCAACACCACTTTCTGAACATGGCCCAGGAGGAAGGAGAGGAACCACTGTATAACAGTGCCCCCAGCTCCCAGCCCCTCTAGACAGTCCAGAAGGATGTCATGGTCGATGGTGTCAAAGGCTGCTGAGAGATCCAGCAGAACTAGGAAACAGCTCTCACCTTTGTCCCTAGGCTGCTGGAGATCATCGACCAGTGTGACCAAGGCAGTTTCAGTCCTATGATTAGGCTTGAATCCCAACTGGAAGGGATCCAAATGGTCCGCATCTTCCAGGCGTGCCTGGAGTTGTTCAGCAACCACCTGCTCAATCACCTTGCTCAAGAATGGAAGATTTGAGCCTGGGCGATAGTTGGCCATGATGGCTGGGCTCAAAGATAGCTTTTTAAGAAGAGGTTTAATAACTGCTTCTTTAAGTGGGTATGGGAAGATTCCCACGCGGAGGGAAGCATTCACCACCCCGCACAGCTCATTGCCCAGCCCTTCCCAGCACTCTTTTATAAGCCAAGATGGGCAAGGATCAAGGAGACAGGTGGTCAGTTTCACTTGTCCAAGCAGCCTCTCCACATCCTCAGATGTAACAGACTGAAATTGTTCCCATGCGACATGACTAGGCAGAGCTCTGGCACTCTTCCACCACAACCCTGCCCCATTGTGGGGTCTACCTCCCTCCGAATCTGATTTTTACCTGCAAAAGCTTTGTGAAGTCATCATAGAAGACCTTGCAGTCCGTGCTGGACTCAAGCTGGTGAAGGTGGATCTGTAAAACTCCAGACCACCTGGAAGAGTCTCCTGGAACTATTTTCTGCAGATGCAATAGAGGCGGTGAAGAAGGTCCTCTTTGCCATTGTTATCAAAACTTGGTAGGCTCAAAGTCTGATTCAGAGTGGGTTTTCTGCCACCGGCACTCTAGCCATCGTTTGATTGCCCTCAGCCCAGGGGAGAACCATGGGGTCATCCAGGCTCCATGCAATCGGAGTGGGCACTTCGGAACCAGACAAGTCAACAACCCTAGTTAACACAGCATTCCAACAAGCCACCAGTAAATCAGCTGAAAGGCCATCAACATGGGATAAAACATCCCCTACCACTCTCTGGAAACTATCTAGATCCATTAAGTGGCTGTGACGGACCATTCTAATCAGTCCCACTTCCCTATGCAGGGGATGGTAGCGGAGAAGTCTAGTTGCAACAGGAAGTGATCCGACATAGAACTTCTTTTGTTTCACTTTTAGTGTCAGATCACCCACATCCATAGAGGTGAACACCAGGTCCAAGGTATATCCGCCACTATGAGTTGGACCAAACTTATTCAGGTACAGCCCCATGAAGGCCATGCTTTCCACAAAGTCCCAAGCAGCGCAGTGTAAGGTCATGTTGGCATGGATGTTAAACTCACCCAGGACCAAGATGGGTGGCTCCAGGAAAACATCCGACATGACCTGAAGCAGTGTGAGCAGGGAATCCTTGGTGCAGCGGGGAGGTTGGTACACCAATAGCAATCCTGTACTGTCCCTATTGCCCAACTTTAGAGAAGGGGGTCTTCCTAATAAGGATGCCCAATGAAAACAAAGGACTTCCTAAAAATCACTGCAACCCCCCCTCCCCACCCACAGGACCTGGGTTGCTGTGCATAAGGGAAGCCTGGCAGACAAGCACCAGCAAGAACAGGTTCATATGCCTCATCCAACCAAGTCTCTGTTACACATTCCAGTTCAAGTTCTCCATCCATGATCAAGTCATGGACGGCAGTGGTCTTCTGGATCATTGACCTGGCATTGCACAGCAGCACCTGAAGGTCATGTAGGACACCCTTGTTGATACCTGTAACCTTCTGGTCAGGACCAGACCCGGAGGCAGGGATAGTCTCCAAACGAGTAAACCTGCCCCCTCGGTAATGACATGGTCTGGTCCTAGCGTAACTCCTCCTCCTGCCCATGATCACGGAAATCGGGTGTCCCAATAAATCCCCCCTCCCCGTGAGAACCTGCCCAAGCCATCCCATTGGCTAGGACTCACTCCCTGAACCTATCCCCTTAAAAACAGATTTCCTTATAAAAACCACAAAACAAACCTATTACTAGAAAATAATAAAGAGAAACAATGCCACTTGCGGAAATGATTCCCATAGATTACTCACTGAATAATGCAGCCTCATTTGGAAACACAGATTGTTTCCCCATGATGGCTGGGAGGGGCATTCCTTCTCCCATCCCGCCATTTTCCTAAGCCTAAGGTCAGGAGAAACATTTGCAAGCATTTTGGCCTGAACCAGTAAATACAAGGAGACACCTTACCTCTTAACTCTTACCGCTTTTTAACACTAGGGCTCTCCCAGTTTGTTTTGGGCCCCACTCATCATGCTGGATCTGATCTTTGGGGCTGGCATAGATGTGATCATGCTCCCCCCTGTGGAAGTGCCATGGTCTGATCACTACGCTCTGAAAGCCAAGATTGACTTCCCGCTCCTCCCCTGCTCGGGTGGCGAGCCTATTTGGGCTCGCCCGCGAAAACTGATGGATCCTGATAGATTCCGACAAGCCTTGCGGGACCCTGCTCCTCCTGGCGACTCATTAGATGACCTTGTAGAGGACTGGAACAACTGGCTCTTGGCAGCCATTGATAAGATCGCGCCTAAGCGCCCTCTGCGACCCCGTTGAAACGGGGCCCCTTGGTTTACTGAGGAGCTCCGGAAAATGAAGCGGGATCTTGACGGCTAGAGCGAGTATGGCGACGGACTCGTGACGGAGCCTCAAGAATATCTTATAGGACGCTTATGAAAGCTTATGAGATGGCTATGAAAGCTGCTAAGAAATCTTACTTTGCAGCTTCGATTGCATCCGCTAGCTCTCGCCCGGCACAACTTTTTAGAATAATTAGGTCAATAACGTCCTCAGGAGGACAACCAAATTTAAGAACAAATTCGACCCACAGCTGTGAGACATTCACAAGCTTTTTTGCAGAGAAAGTCCTGTTGCTCCGCCGTGACCTCCCTGCCAATTTAGATACAGTGACTGAACTGGAGGCCCGTCGACTGACTACAGGTCCAGTGTTGGACCATTTCGATTGGATACTCCCTGCTGATGTGGATAGATTCCTCCAAGTTGGTAGGCCCACCACCTGCCTCCTTGATCCATGCCCATCTTGGCTGATTAGGGAGTGTCCAGATGTTGCGCGGACCCCCCTGGTTGAAATCATCAACTTGTCTCTTGACACGGGGACATTCCCAGGGGAACTGAAGGAAGCACTGGTGTGTCCACTCTTAAAGAAAACTTCACTAGATCCCTTAGACCTATCTAATTACTGCCCAGTTTCAAATCTTCCATCTCTGGGTAAGGTAATTGAGAGAGCGGTTGCTGAACAGCTTGGTAGGTTTCTGGAGGAAACATTGGATTTAGATCCATTTCAGTCCAATTTCCGTCCTGGTTTTGGGACCGAAACGGCTCTGGTTGCCCTAACAGATGATCTCCGTAGACAACTGGATCGAGGCGGGTCAGGACTGCTGATCCTTTTAGATTTGTCAGCAGCCTTTGACATGGTCAATCATGATCTTCTGGACCACTGCCTCGCAGACGTGGGGATACAGGGCATAGCCCGTAACTGGCTGTGCTTTTATCTCTGGTTGGGGACAGAGGGTGGCACTAGGGAGGGAAATGTCGTCGCGCCACTCCTTGGTGCGTGGAGTGCCACAGGGTGCAATCCTCTCCCCGATGCTTTTTAACATCTTTATGCGCCCCCTTGCCCAGATTATCCGGAGCTTTGGGCTGGGCTGTCACCAATATGCTGATGACACTCAGCTCTATCTGTTGATGGATGGCCACACCGACTCGGCCCCAAACACACTGACCAGATGCTTGGAAGCTGTGGCTGGATGGTTTCATGGGAGCTGATTGAAACTAAATCCTTTGAAGACAGAGGTCCTATGGCTGGGTCGGGACGGCATGGGGATGAGGGACCAACTCCCTTCTCTTGCGGGGGCCCAATTAGTGCCATTGCCTTCCGTTAAGAGTTTGCGTGTAATACTTGACACCCCCCTTTCCAAGGAGGCGCAAGGTTACAGCAACAGCCAAGGCGACATTTTTCCACCGCATCAAGCCGTTAGTCCCTTACCTTTCCCGCCCCGACCTGGCCACAGTGATCCATGCGACGGTCATCTCCAGGCTTGACTACTGTAATTCGCTCTACGCGGGGCTGCCCTTGAAGCTGTCCCAGAAACTCCAGCAGGTGCAGAATGCTGCAGCGAGGCTCCTCACGGGGTCTCTGCCATGGGAGCATATTCACCCAGTGCTTTTCAAGCTGCACTGGCTCCCGGTGGAGTACAGGGTCAGATTTAAGGTGCTGCTTTTGACCTTTAAAGCCCTTCACAGCCTAGGACTCGTACCCACGGGACCGCCTCTCCCGGTATGCCCCACAGAGAGCCTCAAGGTCCATAAATAGCAACACCCTAGTGGTCCCGGGCCCTAAGGAAGTTAGAATAGCCTCAACCAGAGCCAGGGCCTTTTCAACTCTGGCTCCAGCCTGGTGGAACGCTCTGCCTCATGAGACCAGGGCCCTGCAGGATCTGATTTCTTTCCGCAGGGCCTGTAAGACACAGTTGTTCCACCTGGCCTTTGGCTTGGAGCCAATTTGATTCCCTCCCTCCCTCTCTTTCTTTTTTATTTTCCTTCTCCTCCTGTGATGAGGCTACAATTTTACAATATTTTAATGTTTCAATATTTTAATGTTGTATTTTAATTTTGTTTTTAAGTTGTAATGATTCAACTTGTTTTTATTATTGCTTGTTAGCCGCCCTAAGCCCGGCCTTGGCTGGGGAGGGCGGGGTATAAATAAAAAATTATTATTATTATATTATTATTATTATTAACGTTCCAACTAGTTGTCCTGTCGCCTAATATGCAAGTTCTACTCCCCAAGTTGCTCAACAACTATAGGTCATATATGTTACCACCCCTACCCTAATCTGAACATTGAAAACTGATGGAATCATATAATAGTAGAGTTGAAAGGGACCCCAAGAGCCAACTAGTCCAACCCTGCAATGCAGGAATTTCAGCTAAGCATCCATGACAGATGGCCATCCAAGCTCTGATTAAAAACCTCCGAGGAAGGAGAGTCTACAACCTCCCAAAGGAGACCGTTCCACTGTTGAGCAGCTCGCCCTGTCAGAAAGTTCTTCCTGATGTTGAGTCAGAATCTTTCTTCTAACCTGAAGCCACTGGTTCAGCCCCTACCCTGCAGAGAGGGGTAAAATAAGCAGGCTACATCTTCCATGTGGCAGCCCTTTAGGTATGTAGAGAAGGGTATCGTATCTCCTCTCAGCCTCCTCTTTTCCAAGCTAAAAATACCCAGTTTCTTCAACCATTCCTCATAAGGCTTCTAGACCTTCGATCATCTTGGTCACCCTTCTCTGAACACTTTCCAGATTATCAATCATGTTTCTTAAACTTGGGGTGCCCAGAACAGGATACAGTATTCCAGGTATGGTCTGAACAAGGCAGAATAGATGACTATTAATTCCCTGTATCTGGACACTAGACTTCTTTTGATGCAGCCTAGAATAGCATTAGCTAGTTTTGCTGCTGCAGCACACTGTTGAATTATGCTAAGCTTGTGGACCACCAAGACCCCTAGATCCTTTTCACATGTCTTACTGGCAAGCCAAGTATTTCCTGTCTTATATTTGTAAAATTGGTTATTCCTGCCTAAGTGCAGAACCTGACAGTTGCCCGTATCAAAACTCATTTTGTTAGTTTGGACCCAGTTCTCCAATCTGTTAAGGTCATCTTGAATCCCAATTGTGCCTTCTGCAGCATTAGCTCCCCCTCCAGGGTTGGTGTCATCTGCCAATTCGATGAGCATCCCCATAACTCCATCATCCAAGTCATACATAAAGACGCTGAACAACAATGACCCAGGACAAAACCCTGTGGCACCCCACTTGTCACTTTTTTCCAGGATAAGGAACCATTAACGGGCACTCTTTGGGTTCAGTCAGTCAACCAGCTACCAACCCACCTAAAGGTAAAGTAAAAAAAGGTAAAGAACCCTTGGACAGTTAAGTCCACTCAAAGGCGACTATGGGGTTACGGCGCTCATCTCGCGTTCAGGCTGAGGGAGCCACCGTTTATCCACAGTTTTCCAGGTCATGTGGCCAGCAGGACTAAACCGCTTGTGGCGTGACAAAATCTAGGGTGCACGGAAACACCATTTACGTTCCTGCCACATCAGTACCCATTTATCTACTTGCACTGGCATGCTTTCAAACTGCTCGTCCAACCCAAATTTTACCAGTTTCTCTGCAAGTCTATCACAGGGGACTTGGTCAAAAGCCTTACCTTCTCCTTGCAGCTGTTGGCTACTGTGTACCCTAATCCTTCGTGATTTCTCCTTCCTTCCATTTCGTATACATGCCCTTCTTAAATCTCAGCTTACCTGTAAGCTGCTTATGCAGCCACACAAGTTTCTTTAGATGCCTCCTACTTTTCTTTCTTGTTGGAATTGTCTGCCTTTGTACCTTCAATATTTCACCTTTCAGAAATTCCCATCCATCTTGGACTCCCTTCTCTTTTAAGTATTTCTGGATCACTGCTGTATTTAAGCCAGTGGTCAAGGCCAGACATTGCATGTGCTACAAATGTTCTGAGCCAACGTGTATCTAAACCCAGTACTGCTGACTGGTGTGCTTTGAAAAGGCTTATCAGATATCTAAAGGGGACATTAAATGTATGTTTGAAGATATCTAGTACACAAGACGAAAAACTAGAAGTATTTGTTGATGCGGACTGGGGAAGCTGTGTAGCTACCAGAAAATCTACAAGTGGAATGGTTATGATGTTTGCCAATTCCATAATTGGATGGAGATCAAAGAAACAAGGATTTGTTGCGACCTCATCCTGTGAGGCAGAATATGGGAGCCTGTCACTAGCATGCAATGAAATCATGTGGTTTATACAGATACTAAAATATCTAGATTGTAAAGGAGATTTGCCTATCCAAGCGTATGAAGATAGCCAATCGTGCATTGCATTAGCGGGCTCAGAAATAATGAAATCCGCATCAAAACATATTGCTATCCGTCATGCAAATGTGAGAGATTGTGTACAGAATGGGGTAATCAAACTGGAGTACTGTCAATCACAAGATAATATTGCTGATTTGTTTACCAAGCCTTTGCCAGCAACATGCCATAATGAATTAATGACAAAACTGGGTTTATGTATATAATGTATGTATGTATTGTTTCTGTTGGGGTTTTTCACATTTAAGAAGCAGAAGGGGTGTCACGGCTAAAATGGCCGCTGTTTCTTTAATGCGAATAAAGCTGGGTCAGCATGACTCAGCGGCCTGCACCAAGTTGTATATATAAAGTGAGAAATGTTACTTTGTGCTGAGGCTGGTGTTTGGGTTGGTTAGTGCTGGTGTGTATAGTTATTCAGTCATGTTTTGCACAAAGACTTTTAAGAATAAAACTCTGCAAGGATATTCTCGTGGACTCTTTTTGTGCCGACAAGGGTCCGAGGACCAGGCTGAGGAGACAAAGGGAGGTCAGAACCCTTTCCTTCTTTTTTTTTTTTGCTTTTTACAAACACTGACAACTCTTCCTTTATTGGGCCGTTTCTCCAATGTCGCTCCACCAGGTGCCAAAAATCCTGCTGGCCACGTTGACTCATTTTTCTATTTTGCATTCTCATTTTGTATTTCTTATGTTGTGAGCTGCCCTTGATCTTTGAAGGAAGGGTGGCATACAAATTTAATAAATAAATTTCTATACATCTTTTTCTATCTTCTCATTCATATTCCCTCTGATTTTATTCATTTGTTCTGCTTCCCTAAATATGGAGACCACCAATAATTATAGATATTTAAAATGTCTCTCTCTCTCTCTCTCTCTCTCTCTCTCTGTGTGTGTGTGTGTGTGTGTGTGTGTGTTTGCACGCTTCCTTGCTTAAAAGTATTGCAATATGCTTTTCGTTATTTTGGTAAGAAAGTGACGAATACGTTTAATAAAAAGAACAAATAAATCAAGAAAGGACAAACACATCCACAAACTCCCCTTTTCATATTTGCTCATTGGTGGCAGGCAATCAAGGATATCCAACTCGAGGCCTCCCCGTATGCGATACCTTTCATAACTGCGTCCACCTTCTTACCTGACTGCACCCAATTGACTGTCGGTCTAGACAGCTGCACAAAGTTCTCCTCGCACATCTCCTGGCTGCACCAGTAACGTCTCTTCAGTCAGCTCTGTCCCATCCTTTGGTACCTCCCCCTAAACTGGCTGTGGCAATGGCCAAATTTGCACAACCCCTTCAACCCCACAACAGGAGCCCCGTGGTGAAACCCAGCTCCAAGCCAGCCAGCCCCACCACTGTGAAGGTAGGTGCCAGATTCTCACCTGCAGATATCTCCGCTGGAAGATTCTGCTCCGGAGGTCTTGCATCTTCCTTCTGAAGCCATGGCACGGTGAACAAGCTCGAGGTGAACAAGTCCCCTTTACTACCTGAAGCCTCCGATCTTTCCACGCAGGCTGCAATATCAAGCAAAGGTGGTTTAGTAGCCATTCTACTAGATTTGGAAGGTTTCTTGCTCGCTACCCACTCCGTGGCCTCCAGCGGACCTCATATCTGGGCCTGCCTCCTGTTTGGAAGAAGAATCCTGAGGCTGTTTCGGTGGGCTGCTTTTGAGCTTGGCTTCCTTGCCTCCTGCTCCCTTCTCAAGATGCCATTGCAATCCCTCTACTATGCAAGTAACTGCAGGAGGGGCATACACAGATCCTAATCTGACCCACAAACAAACTGGATAATTCACATTAACTGGAGGCCTTTTGCATGAAGAGCAAGTGCCCTCTCTCACATTTTAGTTTTATGTCAGGGGTTTGTACGCCGGTGCCTAGCTGTTCCAAAAATTCCTACATTACAGCCCTGGCCCTAAACCTGGGTAGCTAATCTCTGGCACTCCAGAGGTTGCTGGACTTCAAGTCCCAACAGCCCTGGCCAGCAAGGCTAAGAAGCGAGGATGATGGGAGTTGCAACTGAGCATCATCAGGGGAGGCCCAAATATCTTAGGTCACCGATAGTCAAGAAATCTGCTCCTTTCCTTTCAGAAAGGAACCCTTGTATTCCCAAAATCTGTGCCACTTGAATTCAAGTCCCTTTAGCAGTTGCATACAGATCTCCACAGCAGCCTGCTGGATTCGCTGCGCCTTTTTGTTAATGATAAACCACATTAATACCATTTAAAAACTCCTGTCCAACCCCAATACTTTCTAAATTTTGTATCATAAAACTCCAAGACACGTTGTCAAAGGCCTTCTCCGCATCAATAAACATTAACATTGCTTTACAATTTTTCTTGTTTCTAACTTTTCCAAAATATCAACTATATTCCTAATATTATCTTTCATATAGTTTTTGCCTATAGTTTTTGACATTAGATCTATCTTGATCTTGTTTTGGAATCAGGGTTATATAAGCTTCCTTCCAGGTTTCGGGTGCTTTGTCCCCTCCTATTACCTTATTGCAAACTTCTACCAATGACTGAATAAGCCAATCTTTCATAGTCTTATAGTATTTTGCTGACAATCCATCTGGTCCTGAGGCTTTGCCAAGTTACATTGAATTTATTGCATTTTCGACCTCCTGCCGTGTAATTAAACCATTTAGTAGGATCCTTTTACCTTCAGGAATCTTCTGCAAGCCATTAGTTTTAATAAACTGCTCAATTTTGACCTTGTCTTCTTTACCATTTTTATACATTTGTTTGTAATACTTCTGGAAACATCTTCTTATCTCCACAGGGGTCTCCACAGACTTTCCTTCTGATACAGTATTTGTAATAGTACTTTGTTTCTGTCTTTTTTTTTAACTGCCAAGCTAAGAGTTTCCCACATTTATATGCAGATTCAAAATTCCTTTGTCTCATCAGTCTTAATTTCCATTCTATTTATTGGTTTATAATCTGTGAATACTGGATCTGTAAGGCTTTAATTTTCTTTTGTATCTGCAAATTCGTTGGATTACTTCTAAGGTTCTTCTCTTTATTTTAATTGATCCAAAATTTTATCTTTCTTTTCATTTTGTATCTTTCTCTTAATTGAATTTTGTTGAATGAGGAATCCTCTTGTTACTGCTTTACTTGCGTCTCAAATGACTCTTTTTTCCATTCCAAAAGTCATAGTCATCTCAAAATAGTCTTTTAGAGTCTTTCGGGCCTGATTATTTGCCCATTCCTCAACAAATCATCATTCATCCTCCATCTGAAAGATCCCTGTAAAAACAATTGCACTTCCATAAATACTGCATAGTGATCTGAACAGGTTTTGGGGCAAATTTCCATTTTTGTTACTCTGGGAACCAAGTCTCTGGATATCTATAAATAGTTGATTCTCAAAAATGATCGATTTGCATCTGAATAGAATGTAAAGTCTTTTAATTTGGATTTCTAATTCTTCGTATGTCTGACAAATCAAATTTATCTGTTATGTCAAAAAATGTCTTTGGTAGTCTGACAGCATTCAGTATTTTTTGTCTCTGAGTCCTACCCATTAGAGTTGATGCAACTCCATTCAGATCTCTCATTAGAATTAATATATAATCCAAGTAGTCCAGAAGCTTTGTTTCCACATTCTTAAAAAATTTCGCTTTGCCATCATGAGGTGCATAGACTCCCAATAGATGTTTTTTGCCTTGTGCTGCAATTTCTATTGCTATGTATCTTCCCTCCTCATGTTTTAAAATCAATGTTGGATTCCACTTTTCTTTAACATAAAACACCACTCCTCTTTTTTTAACTTTATCTGAGGAAATGAATTCTGGACCAAGTTTCTTATTCAAAATAATTTTTCTATGTTGTCTTTTGATGTGTGTTTCACGTAAACAAATTAAATCCAAATTCTGCTTTGACAAAACATGATAAATCTGACTCCTTTTTTGTGGAGAGTTTAAACCATTGACATTCCAAGAGTAAATTCTCAAAGCCATCCTAATCAGTTAGAGTGCTGCTGCCCCTGCCCCCTGTGGGCTTTCCAACCCAAGTTCAACTGAGTGCTTTTGCAGAAACCTATCCTTCTCTCCAACAGTCTTAATTATTTGTTTCCTTCCCTCAAATCTGAAGAAAAGGCCCTCCGGGAATACCCACCTATAAATATATATTTTTCCTTCTCGGGTGGTTGCCAAATCTGTATAATTGGATCTCAAGTTCAAAAAATGTTTAGGAAACTCCTTAAAAAGGACAATTGCTTTATCCTGAACTTTTAAACCTTTTTTGTAATGCAGGCCCAAAATAATATCTCTTTGTTCTTTAGGCTTGAAGACCACAATTCAATCGTAGATAATTTTTGAATCTTTTTTAGAACCAAATCTGTAGACCTTTTCTGTCCAAGAGTTAACTTCATCTTTTTTCAAGTCCCACCACACCACAAATTGATTTATCATCCACTCCCTGAGCCGATCCTGTTCCAGTTGAGGAACCCCTCTCAATCGTAGCTGAGATTCCAGCTCTCTCATCTGAAGAAATGTGATCAAATTTGAATTTTCATATTGTAATCTTTCTAAATCAGTCACTCTAATTGTCTCTAGCTGAGTCAGTCTCGTCTCGTGACTTGTAACTCATTTTCACTGCTTTCAGTTCCACTCTCAGTTCCTCAAAGTCCTTGCCCAATTTTTCAGTGCCCTGAGAATTACCTTTTATGTCCTCTTTTATTTCAGTCAACAATTGCATGACATAATCCTCAAAAGTTGCACTTCTGGAGCCTTGTCTTACTGTGCCCTTACCTCCTTTCTCCCAATTCATAGTTGCTCAGGAATCTCAAGGTCAGTCACACAGTCAGAGGGGGAAAGGAGAAAAACAGATTCCCACAATGGTCAGTTGCAGACAGCCAGCAGATCCTCTTTTCCTTTTATTATAAAGACAGGCTATTTAATACTCCTCACAACCCTCAGAATTTTAAAAAGAATTCTGGAGGTAAAAGATACTTTTTGTAACACAGAAACCAGTCCAGACAGCAACAAGATACTTTGTATCATACAAAGAGGAAGCGAAAGTTGAAAGTTTCCTCTCCCTTTATGACGTCACAATGGAGTCTAGCCTTTCCCCACCGGGGAGTCCGCTGCAGAAAGAAAGAGTCTCTTTAGCTTGAAACTCAGTCTAGCAGGGTTCTTTTGAAGTAAAAATTCTCCCCCCGCCAGAAGGGGGGATTTTGCTGATAAATTTTTATTGGTATTATACATATATACATATAAACTTATACAAAGTCTAATACTTAAATTACACATAATATATTCATTCCATAAATCATAAATACATTTATTTTAGGCTCTGCCAAGCCTTGAACTTCCTTCCACTCCTTTGGTAAGTATCAAATAGACTTTATATTCACGTATTTTATCTCTTTTACATAATAACCTTTTACTGTTAGAGTTGTTCCAATCCCGCCAGTGTCGTTTAAAGTTTGGTCCCAATATATATCCAATATTTAATCCAATTGTCATGAAATTTCTGTTGATCTTGATCTCTTATTCTTCCTGTTATTCTAGCGAGCTCGGCATAATTTGTTAATTTAATCTGCCAATCACTTATATTAGGTATGGCGTCCGTTTTCCAATTTTGTGCTAACATGATTCTTGCGGCTGTTGTGGCATATAAAAATAGTACCTTATCTTCTTTTTTGATTTCTTTACCTGTCATTCCTAGCAGAAAGGCTTCGGGTTTTTTGGGAAACGTGTATTTAAAAAAAATTTTAAGCTCGTTATAAATCGATTCCCAAAAGCCTTTCACTTTGCTGCATAGCCACCACATATGGTAGAAGTCACCATCTACTTCTCCACATTTCCAACATCTTTTGTTCTTTAACCTATAGATCTTAGCCAGTTTCACTGGTGTGAGGTACCACCTAAATATCATTTTCCACATATTTTCCCTTAATGCCATACATGCCGTGAACCTCATGTTAATATTCCATAATTCTAGCCATCTCTCAAAATCGATGTTATAGCCAATGTCTATTGCCCACTTAGTCATAACCTCCTTCACCTCCTCGTCTTTTGTATACCACTCCAATAAAATATCGTATATTCTAGACGGTATTTTGTTCTTTCCTTCAACAACTTCCACATTGAATTTGGATTTTTTATCTTCGAATCCTATTTTCTTTTTATCTTCTTTTAACAGGTCATTTACCTGGTGGTATTGCAGCCACCCAGTAAATGAGTTTTTAATCTCTTCATAGGGTCTAAGTTTTATACCTTGATCCGTTTTCCTAGTCAGTTCTTCATAGGTAGGATTCTTCCCTTCCATATTAACTTTTTGACTGTTAACACCTCTGTTGGTGAGATCCACCAGGGTGTCTTCCTTTCCAATAGGTTTTTATTTCTTTCCCATACTTGGAATATTGGCCCTCTAACAATATGGTTTAAAAAGCCTCTATGTACTTTCACCTTTTCATACCACAGGTACGAGTGCCACCCGTACCTGTTATCGAAGCCTTCAAGATCCAAGATGTCTCTGTTTTCTAGCGTTATCCAGTCTTTCAACCACGATAAACACGCCGCCTCATAGTATAAACATAAGTCCGGAAGGGACAAGCCCCCTCTTTCTTTTTTATCTACCAGTATTTTCATTTTTATTCGCGGTCTTTTTCCCTGCCAGATGTATCTCGCCAAGGCTCTTTGCCATTCTTTACATTGCTTTAAACCTTTAAGTACCGGGATGGTTTGAAATAAAAATAACATTCTAGGCAAAACGTTCATTTTAATAACCGCTATCCTCCCCAAAAAAGATCATCTCATTCTCTCCCAGATTTCTAAGTCTTTCTTAATGTTCTTCCAGGTGACCTCATAGTTATCCTTATATAGATTGATGCTCTTAGCCGTAATCCAGACTCCAAGGTACTTCACCTTCTTTGCCGTCATAATTCCGATTTTTTGTTCTAGATCTACTATATCTTCTTTAGATACATTTTTAGTCATAAAATCATAGAATCATAGAGTTGGAAGAGAACACAAGGGCCATCGAGTCCAACCCCCTGCCAAGCAGGAAACACCATCAGAGCACTCCTGACATATGGTTGTCAAGCCTCTGCTTAAAGACCTCCAAAGAAGGAGACTCCACCACACTCCTTGGCAGCAAATTCCACTGTCGAACAGCTCTTACTGTCAGGAAGTTCTTCCTAATGTTTAGGTGGAATCTTCTTTCTTGTAGTTTGGATCCATTGCTCCGTGTCCGCTTCTCTGGAGCAGCAGAAAACAACCTTTCTCCCTCCTCTATGTGACATCCTTTTATATATTTGAACATGGCTATCATATCACCCCTTAACCTCCTCTTCTCCAGGCTAAACATGCCCAGCTCCCTTAGCCGTTCCTCATAAGGCATCGTTTCCAGGCCTTGGACCATTTTGGTTGCCCTCCTCTGGACACGTTCCAGTTTGTCAATGTCCTTCTTGAACTGTGGTGCCCAGAACTGGACACAGTACTCCAGGTGAGGTCTGACCAGAGCAGAATACAGTGGCACTATTACTTCCCTTGATCTAGATGCTATACTCCTATTGATGCAGCCCAGAATTGCATTGGCTTTTTAGCTGCCGCGTCACACTGTTGGCTCATGTCAAGTTTGTGGTCAACCAAGACTCCTAGATCCTTTTCACATGTACTGCTCTCAAGCCAGGTGTCCCCATCTTGTATTTGTTCCTCTCATTTTTTTGCCCAAGTGCAATACTTTACATTTCTCCCTGTTAAAATTCATCTTGTTTGTTTTGGCCCAGTTCTCTAATCTGTCAAGGTCGTTTTGAAGTGTGATCCTGTCCTCTGGGGTGTTAGCCACCACTCCCAATTTGGTGTCATCTGCAAATTTGATCAGGATGCCCTTGAGTCCATCATCTAAGTCGTTGATAAAGATGTTGAATAAGACCGGGCCCAAGACAGAACCTTATGGCACCCCACTAGTCACTCTTCTCCAGGATGAAGAGGAACCATTGATGAGCACCCTTTGGGTTTGGTCAGTCAGCCAGTTACAAATCCACTGCGTGGTAGCATAGTCAAGACCGCATTTTACCAGCTTCTTTACAAGAATATCATGGGGCACCTTGTCAAATGCCTTGCTGAAATCAAGGTAGGCTACATCCACTGCGTTCCTTCATCTACCAGGCTTGTAATTCTGTCAAAAACGAGATCAGGTTAGTCTGACATGACTTATTTTTCAGAAATCCATGCTGACTATTGGTGATCACAGCATTCCTTTCTAGGTGCTCACAGACTGTTTGCTTAATGATCTACTCCAGAATCTTCCCTGGTATTGATGTCAGACTGACTGGGCGGTAATTAATTGGGTCCTCTCTTTTCCCCTTTTTGAAAATAGGGACATCATTTGCCCTCCTCCAGTCTGCCGGGACTTCGCCTGTTCTCCAGGAATTCTCAAAGATGACTGCCAGTGGTTCTGAGATCACATCTGCCAGTTCTTTTAATACTCTTGGATGCAGTTCATCTGGCCCTGGAGACTTGAATACATCTAAACTAGCCAAGTATTCTTGTACTATCTCCTTAGTTATTCTGGGCTGTGTTTCCTCTGCTGAATCATTTGCTCCAAATTCTTCAGGTCGGGCATTGTTTTCTTTATCGGAGAAGACTGAGGCAAAGAAGGCATTGAGGAGTTCAGCTCTTTCTGTGTCCCCTGTTTGCATTTTACCATCTTCTCCTCTGAGTGACCCCACTGTTTCTTTGTTCTTCCTTTTGCTACAGACATAAACATAAAAGCCTTTTTTGTTGCTTTTAACCACTCTAGCAAGCCTGAGTTCATTCTGTGCTTTAGCTTTTCTGACTTTGTGTCTACACGTGCTGGCTATTTGTTTGAATTCCTCTTTGGTGGTTTCCCCCTTTTCCATTTTTGTACACATCCTTTTTAATCTTAACTCAGTTAAAAGTTCTTTAGATAGCCACCCTGGCTTCTTTAGGCACCTTCCATGTTTCCGTCTCATTGGTATTGCCTGACGTTGTGCTTTTAGTATCTCCCTCTTAACAAACTCCCAGCCATCATGAACTCCCTTTCCTTTTAGTATTACTGTCCATGGGATCTCACCCAGCACTTCCCTAAGTTTTATGAAGTCAGCTTTCTTAAAGTCAAGAAATTAAGTCCTAGTATGCTTGGCTGCTCCTTTCCGCTGTATAGTAAACTTCAGAAGAGCATGATCACTCGCGCCTAATGATCCTTCCACTTCTACCCCACTAACCAGGTCATCAACATTGGTTAGGACCAGATCTAAAATGGCTGTTCCTCTTGTTGCTTCTCCCACTTTCTGGACAATGAAGTTGTCTGCAAGGCCAGTGAGGAATCTGTTTGACCTTATGCTCTTGGCTGAGTTTGACATCCAACAAATATCCGGGTAATTGAAGTCCCCCATTACTACTATCTCCCTTCCTTTTGCATGCTTGGCCATCTGTTCCAGGAAGGCATCATCTATGTCCTCCGTTTGGCTTGGGGATCTATAGTAAACTCCCACAATGAGGTCACTGTTATTCTTCTCTCCCTTAATTTTGACCCAAATGCTCTCACTTTGGCTTTGAGGTTCTAAATCTTGGATCTCTTCACAGGTATACACATCCCTGACATATAACGCCACTCCTCCTCCTTTCTTGTCTGGTCTGTTTCTCTGAAATAGATTGTATCCCCCATTATTACATTCCAATCGTGGGACTTATCCCACCAGGTTTCAGTGATGCCTATTATGTCATATTTAGTTTGCTGTACCAAGAGCTCAAGCTCATCTTGTTTATTTCCCATGCTTTGCGCATTAGTGTACAGACATTGAAGTCCATTAATCATTCCCCGTGACTCTTATTTAAGGATTTTTCCTCCCACCACTAGGTCTGCGTGCTGTTTGCTCCATTTGGTCTACGACATTTGGATGATCATCTTCATCAATTGATAGACTCCTACCTTTAGGAGCACTGTCTCCCTCCCCCACATTAGTCAGTTTAAAGCCCTCCTGATGAGGTTTCTGAGATTTTTGGCAAAAACATTTCTCCCAACCGTTGTGAGGTGCAGCCCATCGCTTGCCAGAAGTCCATCTTCAAGAAACTGCAGTCCGTGATCTAAGAATCCAAACCGTTCCTGTTTACACCATTTGCGAAGCCAGCTGTTCACTTCCACTATTTTCCCCTCTCTCCCTGGGCCACGTCGTTCAACTGGGAGGACAGATGAGATCACAATTTGTGCATTTAATTGCTTCAATTTCCTGCCCAGAGCCTCGTAGTCTCTTTTGATCTTCTGGAGGCTATTGCTTGCAGTGTCATTGGTTCCCACATGAACCAAGAGGAAGGGGTATTTGTCAGTGGGTTTTATGATTCCTTGCAGTTGTTCAGTTACATCTTGGATCTTAGCCCCGGGAGACAGCACACTTCCCGAGACATCTTGTCAGGCCCACAGATCACTGCTTCTGTTCCCCTCAGTAGGGAATCCCCTATCACCACTACACGCCTCCTCTTAGGTTTGGTCGGGGTTCTTCCGTGAGCTGTCCGCTCCAAGGTCGCCTGCACATTCCCTGAGGACTGACTTTGCTGCTCGTCTTCATATACCTGATCGACTGTAATGAGGGAGAGATCCTCAAATGGAGTCTGCTCTTCGTCTTCCATGCTAGGGGAGGGACCTCAAAGCGATTGTGTATTTCTAAACAATCAGAGCGAACCCTGGGCCTCCTACTTCTTTGAGTCACGTTTCTCCATATATCTGGCTCCTGTGTTGGTGAACTAGCGTCCTTCTCAGGGGAGTCCCCTGTCTCCTCCTTGGTGGAGACGGTGTGCTCTGTTGCTTCCAAGAAGAGCTCCAGCTCTCTAATTCTTTGGAGCATAGCTACACGTTCCTCAGTCAGTATTTTAGTCTTATTCTTATTGACCTTAAAGACTGCCACAGCACCAAACTCTTCAATTTTTTGTAGGGCTTCTTTTACACTGTGCTTTGGATCTTCTAATGTTAGAGCAATGTCATCCATAAAGCTTTAATTTTGTGTTCCTTAGTTCCTACCCTGACTCCTTTAACCTCTGCTGTATCCCTCAGCCTCTTAGTAAGTACTTCCAATACTAAGATAACTAATAGGGGGGACAGAGGGCAGCCTTGCCTCGTCCCTTTAGAAATATCAAAAAATTCTGATGTAGTATTATTTATTATAAGTTTTGCCTTTTGCTCATGATAGATAGCCTCTATACCTTTTCTGAATCATTCTCCCATCCCCATCCTTTTCAAATTTTCCATCAGAAAGCGCCAAGAGACATTATCGAATGCCTTCTCCGCATCGATAAATATCAAGGCCGCCTGTTTATCTATTCTAGTTTCCAGGTATTCAATAATATCTATCACATTTCTTACGTTATCCTTTAGTTGTCTTCCTGGTAGGAAGCCCGTTTGATCTTTATGAATTCTATTTTTTAATACCCTTTTTAGTCTTTCTGCCATTATATCCGCGAACAGTTTATAATCTTTATTTAATAACGAAAATGGGCTTATGGTTCTTCACCTCTAAGGCATCCACATCTTTTTTAGGTATAAAAGTAATATATGCTTCCTTCCAGGTATTCGGAATCCTTCCCTCTTTTAAAATATTATTCACCACTTCACATAGAATTGGGCATAATTGCTCACTTAATGTTTTATAGTACTTGGCTGGTAGGCCATCCATTGGCGCTTTCCCAATTTTCATCTTTTTTATTGCCTTCCTTATATAATCTTCTGTAATCCTCTGGTCTAATAACTCTTTCTCTTCTATGGCAATCTGTTGTAAATGGTGATCTTCCAGGTATCGGTCTATTTCATAATCTATTTCCTTTCCTCTTTTATACAATTCCTTATAATACGTCTGAAATATCCTTTTTATTTCTTTTGGCTCTTCCACTATCCTTTCTCCATCCCTTATCTTGCAGATCGTATTTTGTTTTTTCCTTTCTCTTATTTGCCACGCCAAGAATTTCCTATTTTATTAGCTGATTCAAAGTTCTTTTGTTTCATCATTTTAATTTTCCACTCAATTTCCTGGTTAACTATCATAGAAAATTGGGCTTGTAATATTTTTAAATTTTGCTTTATTCTCTTGTCACCTGGTTTAATAGCTAGTTGTCTTTCATTCTCCATAAGCTGTGTTAGAATCTCTTCTCCCCCCCCCTTTTTCTTTTCTTAAATGGCTATTTTTCTGAATTAGGAAGCCCCTCATAACGGCTTTTCCTGCATCCCAGACCGTTTCTGTAGCTGTTTCTTTGTGTAAATTCCACTTGAAGTATTCTTCAATTGTTTCTTTCGCCTCACTATCTTTTGATTATTAAATATACCTTCATTCATTCTCCATCTAAATACTCTAGTATCTTTACCCTTTATCTCCATAAATACCGGATTATGGTCAGATATAGTTTGTGGGAGTATTTCAGATTTAGCTAAGTTCTGTGTCAACTCCTTCGAGATCCAAATATTATCTATTCTCCCCCAACTCTGATTTGGGTTTGAGAAAAGGTATATTGTTTTATAGTGGGGTTTTTTTAAATCTCCAGGCGTCAATTAGTCCCATATTATCAACCAAATCAAAAAACGTTTGAGGTAGCTTGCCTTCCTTTGTCTCTTGCTTTTTTGACCTATCCAAATTTGGTGACACCACTCCGTTAAAATCGCCCATCAATATCATTTTTTGATCGATCCATTCTAATAACTTATTACCTAATTCTGAGAAGAAAGCCGATTTTTTTATCGTTAGGTGCGTATATTCCGGTGACAATTATTTTTATTCCTTGGAATACAATCTGTACTACTATCATTCTCCCTTGCTCGTCTTTATACAGTATTTTTGGGTCGAATTTTTCCTTTATATATAGTACCACACCTCTTTTCTTAACCTTATCCGATGCCACAAAATCCAACCCTAGTTTCTTATTATTCAGAATTCTCTTATGTTTTCTTATTACATGAGTCTCTTGTAGACAGATTATGTCAAGGTTTTTTTTTTAATAAAATATGTGTAATCTGGTTCCTTTTATTTTTATTGCTAAGTCTGTTCACGTTCCAAGACAGTATTTTTAAAGCCATCTATTATGTACAATTAGTAAATTATCAAATCTGGCTTAAAGCTGCTGTTCTTTGTCTTCTTTCTCTTCCTCTTCCCTCGCTTCTGTTAAGTTTATCTCTCTCTCTTCCTCTTCACTCCCCCCGCCCCCTCCCCCGGCCGCTCCCCTCCCTCCCCCCACCCCACAACCCTTCCAAGTTCCTTCTCGTATCTTCTTGCAAATTTTTCAAGTTCTGAAGAGCTGGACAGTTTGAATCTTTTATCCTTAAAGTAGAATGAAATTCCTTCCGGAAACTCCCATCTATATAGGATCCCATTTTTCTTCAGTTGGTTAGTTAATTTTTTATACACATCCCTCCTTCGAAGAAATCTCGAAGGGATCTCTTTAAATACAATAATTGGGTTTCCTTCAATATATAACCTTTTACTATAATTCTGTTTCAGTACTTCGTTCCTCATATCCAACGAGTTAAACATGGCTATTACATCTCCTGGCAATTTTTTTCCCCTAGCTTTAGCCGATTTTGTTTTTATCCGAAATATATTTGCTAGGGAGAAGCTTATCTCTTCCTCCTTCCTATCTAACCAAATTGCCAACTCTTTCACCATTTTAGATCTTATATTCTCATTTGGGTCCTCTGGGATCCCTCTAAATTTTAAATTTAGTTGGTTCTGTCTCATCTGAGTCATAGCCATACTGTCCAGCAATTCTTCCTGTACCTTACCTATCTCCTTAACTTCTATTTTAATTCTGTCCAAATCCTTCTGTCTTTTGTATCCTTTTGCACCCTTTTCATAGAATCCTCAAGTACTTTGGCTCTTACCGATAGGTGTTTGACTTTTCCTGTCAGTACTCCCACCACCCCCTCTAATCTTATCTAATGTATCCTGCACTCTCTTATCTAATGTATCCTGCACTTCCAATAGCTTTTTCTCTATATATTGCTCATTATGTTTAAATTCTTTCCTTATTTCAGCCATCAAACTATCGTAGTCCTTGATCTCTTTTCCCTCCTTCCCATCTTCTTGTCTAGATGGCCTCCTTTCTGCTGGCGTTCCCACCGCCTTCTTCATTTTGTATGTCAACTTAAATTAACTAATTATTAAAGACTTTCCCCCCCGTAAGTCACTGAAGAGAGCTGCTGGCCTGTTCCTCTCATTAATTTCTTCCAATGCAGTTTCCTTTGATGCCTTGTTGACCTTCCAAGTCTTAGTTCTCTTCTCTTCAGTAGAGTTCATCAACCGAATGTCTCCTTCTGCACAAAGCCAAGCAGCTAATCTCGTGCAGTATTAGCAATCACACAATTAGGGGGAACCAAATATACAAAGATACGCTAAATACCAACCAAAGCAAAAACAACAAAAAGGAATAAAAAGAAAGCAGCTAAAAAAGCCGAAGAAGGAAAACCAATAAAAAGGAGAACCAAAGAGAAAAGAACAAAAAACAAAAACAAAAAAAGAAAACAAAGCAGTTACAAATAGGGAAAGCCAACGTCTCAAAAGATACCCTAGGGAAGTACAATAGAGAGGGTTAAAGGGAAATAAAGGGTGGGTGGGGAGTTGAGGAAAAAGTAACCGCCAAAGATACACGGGCGGGTAGGTGAAGTCACATAATCACGTAGTGGCTCTCTGGAACTCTGGAAGAATTGTGAGGTGAGTCTCGATCCGGGAGCGGACCCAGGAGAGCAAGGCGGGGCCAAATGGAGAGACACTCCACGATGAAAAGGATTCCGTAAATGGCAGAGGGTCCTGGCAAATTGTCTTATTGAATTTCTTTTCTTGCCAAAGAGTTCTCGATCTTTTTCCGCTGCATTAATAGTCCAGCCTTCTCCTACTTAAATATTGGAGTATGTCTCTTTAAAACGGGTGGAGACTGGGAGGAAAATGGCGGTGCGAAAACCCAGTAAGTTTTTACTTTACTTTAGTTTACTTTCTCCAAGCCATTCACTTTTTCTCCCAAACCTCGCCGGAAGAACACTGCCTTTCCGCGTCTCCCCTCCTCCTATTATCAGTCTGATTTTCAATCGTTTAACTGGGCTAAATATGTACCAGACTCTCCCCTTTGTTCA